AACTTCAAGGATAGGATCTAAACCATGAGGTCCTGAATGTTTACTGCTCAGGACTCCTGCAAAACTCAACCCACAGCAGAGTGAGTCATCCACTTCCCATACTTGTCTGGATTGCTCAGTCTTTGAGGGATGAGTTTACATCAACAGTCTTTCCTCATTTGCAAGTATTCAATCAGTGTATATTACTTTTTTCCTTTAAGTTTTCATCAAACTGAAGTTTAGGGGTTTTATTTCTGACACTGATCTGTGTGTCAGGAAAAAAGAGTTCAGATTAAGCAGACAATCAACAGTCTGGTCAGTGTCTTGTTCTCATGACAGGCTCTTCAAAGCACTCTAGTCGTAGCAAACCAGATTATTTATTAGCTGTTAAACCATACAACAACTTGAATTAAAACCAACTGTTTCCTTAATAGCACTTCTGAGCTGAATGAATTCTTGGAGCCCCTGTAGATCACAAGTATGCTCATCCAATGTTAGGACTGAAGGTCAGTAAAATGGAATTCTACCTTTCCTGCTAAATACCACCAAAAGTAGTAAGTTGCAACCAATTATTTTGAACCAGCTGAAAGGCAAGGAATACCAAACCTAATAAATGTGTTAAATCTTGCTGTATCTCTGAAACTATGCACTGGAATGTTAGCTGAAGTTGTTCTTTGTTTAAGATTGTTTTCTGATTTTATTATTTGGTTCCCAGTTAATTCAGCAGCTGGAATTAATTTACTTCGCCAGTCTGAATGGTTAAATAGCTGTTACAGGTATCTTTCATGATGTGGTGTTTTTTGGTATTAATTGTCACTTCCTGATAATATCCTACCTCATTTTTTTTATTTTTTCTTATTACCATTTATACACTCCATTTAGCTCACTTCATTTTAATTGAAGTTCATGGTGATCATTACCATAAATAGTATTAAGTGGCTTTCTGTTGCTGAACCACACTGAAGTTTTTTTTTCTTCTTCCCCTCTCCTCTGTAACAAATGATTCTAAGAATTTTGAGAACAGTGACACATCCTTTATGGAGGATGAGGTGTATGGAAAAAAGTTTCAAACATTATTGATTCAACAGCTGTGACATTGTTTCCTTTCCTTACCTTTTTTCTGCTTTGGAAAGGAACTTGCATGGTTTGAGTTCTTCGGATTTTTTTTTTAGTCCTCCTTCAGGGGAGGAGTAACTTTTTTTTTTTCTCATTAATAGCTATGCCTTGTCTAGAGATACATTGATATAACTTTTCCACAGAGGCACTTGCTCCTTCAAGTGTGTTTGTAATAGTCTCCGCCTGAAGCCAGCTGTTCCCTCTGATTCTTTTTCTTTCAACCATGGAGAGATTTCTTAACTTTTGGCGTGACTTCTCACTGACAAACAATATTGTCATACCATAAACAGTAGAGTCATCTACTCTGAAATGTTACCTAAGGTAAGGCTGTGTGAATGCTAGCTAGTAAAACTGTTGCTTAAACTTCACTTTTTTTTTTCTTGTTGCATTTTAAAAAGAAATTTTTTTTCCCCACTGTTTGGCCACACAGTGGATCCTGTAGTTTTACTGAGCACGTCCCAAAACAGTGAGTTTTCTGTCCTACCTGCATTCTAACAGTGCATGAAGCAGAACTGGAACTGGGCAAGAGTACTGTTTCACTCAGACCTTTCTCCCTTCATCCCTCCAGCTGCAGTGTTAGTTTAGCATTCAACTGCTTCAGCAGTAGGAAAACCTCCAGAAATCTGATCTCCGAAATCCCTTTTCAAAAATAGCTGTACTTGAATTACTGGACCCCAATAGCAAAGGTGAACTTTGTCTGAATTCACAAAAATCACAAAGTTCAAAGAAAGGCTTAATTCAGGATTTCTGGAATTACCCTTTCCTTCCTCCCTCTGTCTCCTTTAAAGGAATTTTATTGAACAATGGGGGAAATTTTTCTAGAGGAGACTTAATGAGAAGGGGGCTAATGAGCCTGAGTCATCTTTTACAGCTGACAAGTGTGTCCATTTAAGACACTACTCATGGCTTAAACATTGTTCACTCCCATTTTGTAAATGCACGAGCAGGGTTGTGGTTTGGCATCTGAGACCTGCAACTTGATGTAACATTTCAGAATCATGACATTCACTTTGTATGTGGGATTGTTTGGGCAGCTGATCAGCAGCACCTCCACCTTGAGCACTGAAGGCTGCTATTGTTTTCTCTGAAAGACTTGTAAGACTGGACACTTTAACAGAATAAAAGTTTTAATTTTTAATTTGCATTTTCCTTTTATGTCTGCTTTCTTTTAAGCTTTCTGTATGCAAAGGCACTTAGCCTTTCATGTTCTCACTTTTCAGAAGACAGATGTTAATAATTCCAGCTATTGTGTAGGACTCTTGGTTTTTTCTACTCATCACAGGAGTCCTTGTGGATTATGACATTCCTTTATGAATAAGCAAAAAGTAGATGTGCAGCAAAAGAGGTCCTGCTCAGTGACAAGCCTGGACTGCCTTATGTCTTTCACCATCACTTTATAACAAATGGCTGAAATGGTTTATGTTGCCAAATATAAGATTGTTGGGACTATTGTCTACATAGACCTACAGAAACTCAGCTGGGTTTTCAAAATGCATATTGTGCTCTCCTTTCCTAGGAAAGTGATAGGGACTGAATGAAGTCGATGGAGAAAACTGCCTGTTGCCATAAAAATAGTGTCTTCAGCCAACTGCTGGTAACAAATTAGTTAAGTGTGGTTCCTAGCTGCCTGCCTACCCTGTGCACTACTCTTTCAACTGAAAATGCTGGCAGATAGCATCTTTCCTAACTGAGCATGTACATGATGTGTTACAGAGAATCAGCCTGTAACTTTCAAAGACAGTTTGAGTTTGTGCAGCGCACTTATTTTATCAAAAGGTATTTCTCTTGTGCTTTGCCTTCCCTTGCTTCCTTTGTCCAAGACTACGTGACTGCAGTGACATTGGTCCCACTTCAGTGACAGAAAATGTGAGCAGGCTTGAAACAGGTGAAAGGTGGTAGTCTTAGATGCTGCTTATTGGCATTGATGAGTTTTAATGAAATGCTTAGCAGGACTGAACCAAGAAAGGAGAGGACAAAATGTCCCTGTCATCTGAAGCTCACTTGGACTGCAGCTCCTATTGGCAAGGATTTACCAGCTCTTTGAACAGCTGAGCAAAAAGAAAGAATGAATGGTACCATCAAAGAAAATTGGTGCTTGCTGGATTCCTGCTGGACTTCACTACAGTGATGGGGAAAAAGCCCAAGGGTAAAGAACTGGTCTGTCTTTGTTGGAAAAAGACTTTTAATTCTGGTAATTCCAAATTTTCTACGTAGCTCACTGAAAAGTGTAAAGATGCAATAGAGGCAGCTGGAACTATATTGGTTTTATTCTGGTAAAATTCTCTAGTCTGGCTGCACCATAAGCTTTTTACCCTGCTGATTTTTGAAGAAAGGAGCCATCTTGTTTTTACCTGTTCATGGCAATTCTCTTGATGGAAAATTACTGCATTTCTGAGGCTTCTGTTAGCTTGAAAGAAAGGACTGCCAATACAGGGAAGACAAAAGTATTCAAGTATCTATGCCGTTTTAAATACTAATAGACTATTTAATACCATTTAAATACTCATTATGGTTATTGTTGTTCTTGTGCTCCTTGTTTCTCATTAAATATGCTGTCACTTGTTGCTGATCGTATCAAAGACTGCAAGAGAGGTGATAAGAGATCTAGCTGAAACTTTTGCTTACCTAATAACTGTGGCAGCTCCAACAGCAGCAATTTTGGCGAGAGTGCTGAGCTGCTTAAACTGGCTCTGGAGAACTGGCAAGCTGGCTTGGCTCCAAATGGTTTCAATAGGAACTCTTATTGAGGAGGAAATTAGGGTAATCGTGCCAGTCAAAAAGGCATTTGAAACACTTGTGCTTTGTCTGCTGCAGGGTTGTCCATGTTCCAGATGTCACTCTTGTACCTTTCATGCAGACATGGGCTGGGCTTTGGCAGCCTCCAATGGAGTTTGCCAGAAGTGCAGTTTTCTTGTGGAGCTGGCAGGAGAAAAAGTTGTTTAATAGTCTGCAAAAGAGCTCTTGGAGGGGAAGGAAGGGAAGGAAAAGGGGTTCATTTCCCAGCTTTGTTCGAGTACTTTCTACCTTCCTTATCTAAACTTACTGGAAGAGAAGGTATTTACGAAGATGACGTTCTTCTCTGACTTTTTTTGGGCATTATGTGGTGGGGGTGGTTTTCCTCTTGCTGAAAAGGTCTTTCTAAGCCTCAAAATAGGAGCACATCTGGAGTGGCAAAGAACTGGAGGACTCCTAAGGACAGACACTGATGAATGCGCCTGTAACCAAGAGGGTTGCCTCTCCTAGTTTATGCAATCAGTTATCTTTTGTTATTTGCCGTGTTGTGTGCTGTGGTCTGCTGTTTATATTGCTCAAAACAATCCATAGAACAGGAAAGCTGTGGTTTACCGTCATGTGTATGAACTAAAACAGCTTCTGAAGTCATCATGTGTGCGTAAGGTAGGGAGTGGAGAAGATGACGTGCTAAATTGCTAAAAACAACAACAAAAAAACCCCTGGGAATGAGAAGTACATGACATTATGAATGACGGAGGTAACACAGAGGGACTTGGAGTGGGATTGGGAGTGTGTGTAGAAGGCATGTTTCTCCAGGATTGCTGCCTCCCAGTGAGGGGTGAGGTGGGGTGCTCATGAGATCGACTTACAGGCAATATCTACAGCAGGGTTTTTTACCACTGGTGACACATCTTCCTTAAAAACACTTCAGCTCCATCAGTTGGTGAGAGTCTGTTAACAGGAAGGAGGAACTACTTGATTATTTTGAGTCTTGCAGCATTGGAGGCTGATTGTTTCCACTCCACGTTTGTAGCCCAGTGATTAAAGTCTCTGGCAAAACTTAGCTTTCTAAACTACTGAATTCATATCCTCTTGTGTGCTGAGAAAAGCTTGAAAACAAGCTGTAAATGCTCAAAGAGATGTTCTCCAGTGAAAACGCTGAATTTCCTTTTCATTAAAAAAAAAAAAAAGAAAAAGGAAGAAGACTTGAACAAGATGGGGAGGGATTTTTATCCAGAGTTTATTCCCTTACAGAATAGAGGACTTTATTTTTTTCAAACATCGTTTTTTAAGATGTATTTTCAGTTGCTAGCAAATATATTTGGAAGTAAATACCTTCCCATGAGCATTTTGCACTCCTTCATTTTGTTGGGTTTTGTTTTGGCTAGGTGAGTGATGCATAAAACCGTCTCCATGATGTTATTTCTTTGTGGAGTGCTGCTGAAAGGATGTTTTCGGTGTTTCCCACAAGAGCCAACACATTTTTCTCTGGAGAGTAAAATCTCCCCCAGGGATTCCTGTGCGAAGGGAAGGATGTGTTGGCGGGGAGCGCCACCGCTGGGCTGGCACCTGTCTTTCACTCTCTTCTGCCTTTTAGATCTAGTTTCTGCATTTTCTCTGGTTTGAACTGTGGCTTTGGGTTTATCTATTTACACGCACGTTTGGAGCCGCAAGAGAGCGAACCGAGCAAGCGAAGGTGTAAAGTGCCAAAGAGCAGCTGTGAATGAAAATAGCAGATATATTCTCTATGAATTTTACCAAACCCTCACCCTTTAGTCTGATGTTTGCCATCTCCTGGGTTGCTGAAGTCCCTTTCAGGTAAGTGTGCTGAAGTGCTGGCAGGACTTGCTGACTGAGCAAAAAGGGCTCTGTAGGAGCCTGAATTGCCACTTTAAATTTGTTTCAAAACTTCTAGATCTTTTCATCCCACTTGAATCTTATTTTACCACCCTTATTTTACTACTGCATTTACTAGGCTTAACTGCTCTATTTTTTTTAATCTGGGTTATTAATTAAAACAGTGATTCCTCCTTGGAGTTAAGAAGTGACTCAAACTTGTGATCGCACTTGAGCAGAATGCTTGTGCACTTTAAGTAGCAACAAGAGCCAAAGCAAAGCTCTGCAGCCCTGAATGTCCCTGCCAGGAACAAACGTCCAGAAATAGGGACAAAATTCAATGGTCTGGCTGTCCAGTGCTTGCTGTTATCACATGCTGGGAAAAGGATCACGTGAAGAGGCGGGGAATCAGCCCTGCAGAGCCTGGGTGGCATCGTGGTGTTGCTGGTGGGATCCTGGCAGCTCTGCCCCGATGGCGTTTGTAACCCAGCATCAGATCCAAAAGGTAAGAAACCACACTCCGGGAAGGAGCGTGTCTGTAGTGCATGCAGGTGACACTACTTGTAAGATATGGTCACTGCTAGTTAACCTGTGATCAGGTCTAGCAAAGATCTGCTTTACGAATGCTTTATATTCTTCTCAGCTACTTGTATTACATTCATTTTGAGTGTGTGAGGACCCTGTTGTGGCTACAAACTCTCCCAGAGGGCACCTTGTCCCACAGAGCTCTTGGAGGAATTTCTCTTGTGCCCTTCTGTCTCCGCTGCTCAGCTCTCATCCATGAACTCGAAATCTGCCTGTCAAAGGATAATCTCCAGGGTATTCTATATAAAGAAACAGCAGTGCCAACAGCGTTCACTTCATTTTGTAAGGGATTGTGTAGTGAACTGTGAAAAACCACCCAGGGATTTTTCCCTTAGAGAAAATGCTTTCCAGCTTGTAAAGGAATCTCACTCTTATTTGGCATATAAGTATGACTGTTCTCTTCGTGTTAGCAGGCTTTGTAATCTAAGAATTGCTGGTTGGACACCTTAGATAAGATATCCTTAAACCACAAAGGCTCTAGTGACGATATCTTCTCTGCTTTGTGGACTGAGGGGTGGAGATACGTTGTTCTTAACTGTGTGGAATCTGAGCTTATTAACAAATTATCTTTTTACAATAGAAACCCCTCCTGAAATTAAAAAATTAAGAGCGTGTTGTCCAGCTGCAGAGCTGAAGCTGGGATGCTTTTCACACTGAACTGAGGCACAGCAAAAGGCCAGAACCCACCTCTTGCTTTGTGCTGCTTCCCCCAAGGAGTCTGGAGGAGAGCAGTCACCCCGTCTCTTCCAGTTCCGCGAGGATGGCTTCCTTGTCCTAGAGCATTTTTTCACTGCAGAGGAGTGTGACAGCATGAGGAATCAGATTCAAAGGATCATAGCAGAGATGGAAGTGCCACTGCACTGCCGCACCGAGTTCTCCACCAAAGAAGAGGAGCAGCTCCAGGCGCAGGTACCGAGAAGGGCAGGGTTGTCCTGGTTGGAGCACTGGAAGGAGAAAGGGAAAAGGCAAATAGCTGCTCAGGATTCACTCTGGGGGAACATGACTCTTTTCTAACTGAACATAACACTGTGAGAGGCATTTGCTCTCCAGCTTTCTACAAATGTTTGATGGTGGTCTTAGAAGGTGAAGGAGGAGAGGATGCGCGTGGCTCTGCTGCGCTTTCAGCCCCTACGCTATAGCTCCTGGTAGCCACAAGCAGCTCTCACAGATCACTTTGCACTTGTTCTGCAGACAGAAAATAGGTTATTTTCCAGGCAGGCAGCAAAAGAAAAGCAAGGGTAGCCTCTATGTGAGAGGTTCTTGTAAAGCTGTAATCAATGCCAAGACATTAGCATTGTAGAAAGCCTTTTTGAGTGATTTCTATTGACTCTGTTTTGTTTATGCTGCGGCTTGATGGGAAAAAGATGCAGGTGAGTATTAACGCTTTGACTGAAGATTCATTTATGTCTTTACAAGGATACTATCTTTACTGGGCTCTTATCCCTGGCAGGGTAGCTCGGATTATTTCCTAACCAGTGGAGACAAGATTAGATTCTTCTTTGAGAAAGGTGCTTTGGATGGGAGAGGTAAGTCCTGGCCTGAGTTAGCCACAGGGAAGGGACAGGAGAAGGCTGAATGAGGGATCAGGGGCCAGTTTCCAGCTCTAGGACAATTCCTGCTTTGCAAACAGTGTTAAATTCTGGTTTTGTTTCATAGGTAACTTTCTAATTCCAAAGGAGAAATCCGTCAGCAAGATTGGCCATGGTATGTTTAAAGGATGGGGTTTTGAAAGGGATGTGGTTTTCAGACACGAGGATTTCTCCAGACCTACTCACTATAAATATGCTTGGCCATCTGAGGTGAAACCCTTCTGAGCAGAGAAGTGACTTCTTTACTCTTCTGTTGCTTCTCTGTGCATCCTGGGGATGACTGCATCAAATGTTGCAAAGCTCTCCCCCTCTTGCCATTGTGGCCACACAGCTCCTGTCTTTGCAATCCCGGGCTGTTTTACTCTGGGTTTCTGCATGAAATTCTTCAATTTGATTTCTACGTGTTGGTCTGCTTTTCCGCATGTCGCTCTGTCACTGTCTCTGCAATTCTCTCTGTGCTGCCTCTCGCTCTGCTGTCAAAGGACTTAAAAATCTTCTGTTACGATCCTTTTCAAAAAACCCTTCTAGGAGGTTTTTCAGCTATGCATAGCACAGAGTCACTGACATGAGGAAGTTTGGACTTCAGCCCTTGTCTCTTTTATGTAAGAGACTGCTCTAACGAATTTACCACTGAAGAGTGGTCACATTTAGTACAGATCAAACTGTGTCTTGTGTCCTGTGCAGTAGTGGGTTGCCAACACCAAAGCTGTCCTCCCTCCTTTGGTGTCACCAGCACCTTTTCTTTACCCTTACTAGTTTCAGTTTGACCTATGTCCTCTCTCCCACTTACTGGACTTGCATTTTGATGTCTTGTTTTCAAACAACACATGGAAAACAAGAGCAGGATTCACTGCATCTCCAAACACATGAACTCTGTTCAGATTAAACTAAACTTTTCACTAAACTTGGAAATTCAGTACTGAGAGTTCTCGGTTCTGTGGTTTTCTCAGAAAAACACTCTCCCCCTCCCAGACCCCTGCCATTCTGTTATACTTCAGCTTTTCCCAGGGGAAGTGAAAACAACTGTAGATGCCTGCTGACTGAGCAATGTAACAATTCAAAAGGCTTCTGTAGACTTAATTTTTGTAATTACTCCTTTTGGTTGGGTCTTGCCTCATCCGTTGCTCGGGAGCAGACCCTGCTGGACCCGGTCGTGTGTCCTCGTGACGAATTTGATCATGATGAGATGGAGGCGTGATTCCAAGTCTTTGCTTCACAGTTTTGTCACAGCTGGGCTGTAGCAAGTGTCTGTGCGCAAACAGCTCTGACCTGCGAGCTGTGGCCCTCTGCAAAGGGCACCAAAGATAAGCCCTAGATTGTTTTTGCAGTAATTACTTTTTTTTGGTAGGTCTTAAGAACTGTGTTTTAAAAGGGTGAATTCACCTATGTCCTTCAGGGTCATGTATAGTGGTTGTCGTATTAGCATTTGCATAATATAATACTTAATCACATAATACTGAATTTTTGTTCACTTTTATACGCTATTTTTTATATAGCTGCAGTTTGTGGCCAGTGAGTGATTATATTTTTGGTCTGTATAGCAGATTGTACAAATCTACAAGTGTTGAATCACCTTAGGTGTGATAAGCCATGTTTGCTCTTGGGAGGGATGAAAGTTTCTGGCTGCAATTTATCTTGCTTGGCTGTTGTCTCTGCAGCTCATCATTGAGAGCTGTCAAATTCACTTCTGTTAATGAAATCTTCAGTCTGAGCCTTTTCTTTCCCCTTAGCTTTACATGCTTATGATCCTGTCTTCAAGCAAATCACCCACTCCTCCAAGGTGCAGGTGAGCTGTTACTGTTTCCTAGAATGCCCTGGGGAAAAAAATATGGAGTAGTTAATCTTAATTTTCTAGACTCCCAAGGATAGTAATTTTGTCTGTGAAAGGAAATTTATATATTGTCAAGGAATAATGCTTTATAGTGTGTGGAAAACAGCAATCATAAATCTTGAAAAGTTTTCTTGCAGGAATTGGGAAGAAAACTAGGCCTTGAGAGACCAGTAGTTGTGCAAAGCATGTATATCTTCAAGGTACAGTAATTCAAGTCTTTTTGTCCCACCCCCCTGTCAGGTGGGAAGCTGTGAAACTCTTTACACATCACCTTTCTTTCCTTGCAGCAACCTGGCATTGGTGGTGAAGGTGAGATTCATATTATCTCTATATCACACTACACATAATACTCCTTTAGGAAAGGAATATTACCAGGAAAAAGGGTCAGAATCGGACTTAAGCCTGTGAGTTTTGTGGTCCAAACTTTCTTAAAATTATTAAAAAGCATCCATGTTTTCCAGAAATGTTTCTACATCATATGCAGCTTGAACAAAGAGCTACTTCTACATTTGCAGCAGGCTGAAAGGTGGTATTTTTATGTAAGATTTAATATGTATGACAGATCGGTGGCAGGGTAGGTCAGGTCAAGATGTCAGGGAGATGCAAGTCTGCCATCCTTCCAGTGGTACTGAATTCCTCGGGCATTAGAAGACCTTAATGACTGTGTCTCGTCGCAGTGACCCCACACCAGGATGCCACCTTCCTGCACACAGAGCCTCTGGGCAGAATCCTGGGGTTCTGGATTGCCCTGGAGGATGTCACGCTGGAGAACGGCTGCTTGTGGTTCATTCCTGGCTCTCACACCAGTAAGAGTCGTGGTGTTTGGTGTGTGCTGTGAAACGTGTGCCATCTTCTTGCTTAAGGGTGGAGGGTGACACAGACTGTGTTATGTTCTCTGCATTGCACAGTGCCTGCAGAACCACGCTACTGTCCTTGGTTGTCGAAAAGACAACTTTCTTTACTGCAAAGATCTCCTCCTATGCTGTTTGTCAAATCCACAACCACATTTTTCAGCAGGTTAACTGCTTCACTTTGCTTTTGGCCACTAGTCCATCAGATGAGCCTAATATAACAATATTTTTTAATAAAACAAAAAAAGGTGGGATACATGACTGACACTGTTTAGTTTTAAATTGATACCTAGCTTAGAAACAAAAAATCCAGGGCACTGGGGAAAGGAAGGACAGTCCTCCTGAATTTTTATTTACTCCAGAATCTGTTAAGGTGAGGGCCATTAAAACTGCTCCTGAATCTTTTCTTTTCATTTCAGTATTATTTCAGAAGCTTCCCCTGCAAGATTCAGAGTCTTCCTTGCCAGGCCACTGAGATTTAAGACTTTAATGTAAAGAAGCTCTTAAACCACTGTGTCCTTTCTTCCTGTAGCAAAACAGGTCATTACTATATGTTGGTGCTCCTTCCACAGTTTTGACTGTAGCCTTGAAAATGTTTATCAAGTCTGATCTGGACTGCAAAGAGTAATAATCCTTGTTTTGCCTTCCAGAGCAGGAATACACTGAGAAATCACTCAATCACACTTTTTTTTTCTTTTATTTTTTTTTCTTTTTTCGCCATCCATTCACAAAACTGTTTCTTTTCCAGGTTGCATCCCCTTCACAAAGACCCCCTTTTTTTTCTCTGGCCACTAAAATTTTTAGTCCTGACAGCCCTATGTAAGGGGAATAAAAATCCTCTTATACACAACTGTCAAATATTGGTCTGAATCTCAGTAAACAAGGAAAGCCTCCAAGTCTATGCAAGGATCACTTGGACACCATCCAAGCCACTGAAGAACAGTCAGTGTCCCAGGGGAACACACAGACAAAACCAGATCAGCACAGACTCACGTAATGGCCGTTGTGACAGATGGTAGTTGCTGTGTGTGTGTCACCACTGTTGAATTACCAGCAGAGTTTTCTGTTTTTCACTACCTCTAGGGCATGCTCATCAGCTTTAAACTGTGCTCACCTAAGCATTTACTCAGTGAGTGTAATCATAGCGCTCTTAAGATTTTAAGGCACTCATCCCTCATAAATTCTGGAGTCAGCTGCACTCTGATTGCAATTTATGTTCTTATAGAAAGGAGAAATGGGCCAAAAGTTGGCTTTGCATAAGTGTATGATTATCTGTGTTCCTAAAGGGCTATGTTGCAATGCACAGAAAGAGCCAGAAAGGCAAACAGAAGGTAGTTGTTTATCAGTTTTTCCCACAGCTGGAAAATCCTAAATCTTTGCTTAATGAAAAAAACCCACCCAAGTTACTAAGGAAAAAAATGAATATAATATAATAATAAAGCTCTTATCATTGCCAAGAGACATGACAGATATTGTTCCTCTGCTGTGCAGAATGTAGCTAGCTGTTTAATTTTTATGTGTGTTTGCTTATTCTGTGGATTTGCAGATGGAATTAGCCGGAGAATGGTCCGTGCAGCTTCATGTACCTCAACACGTGTTGTAGAGTTTGTAGGGTCAGAGCCAGCCTACGATGACAGCCAGTTCAAACCTCTGCCTATAAGTAAAGGTAAAAACAACCCCCAAAGTCTGCTTTACAGCTCAAGAAAAAAGAGAGCTAAAATTGTATTTTAATACTTTCAACTTCCCTTATATTTTAAAACTGGCACTCACAATTTGAAAAAAAAGCAGTACAGATGTTTCTTTCAAATAGGTGGACTCATTCTTATCCATGGTGAAGTCGTCCATAAGAGTGAACTGAACAGCTCAGAGTCCTCTCGCCATGCATTCACCTTCCATGTGATGGAAGCCAAAGACACCAGCTGGAGCAAAGAGAACTGGTGAGGTTGCCATCCTAACAAGCAGCTGAGGAAACTAGATCCTTTTCAATGCAATAGCCAGGATAAACTTTTATTGGTGGTCTTGCATGTCACACAGTTCCTGTTGGTAGTACCTCACTTAGCATTGATTTCATACCCGTAGAACTGGAATAGCCTCTGAAGTTTTGTTTTTACCTCTTCCTTGCTTCCTAGGCTCCAGCCAACTCCCGAACTGCCTTTTCCATCACTCTACACTTGAAGTTAGTGATTGGCTTCTGGAGTTAATAGCTGATCAATATTCCTTTCTGGTTGTTTGTTCATGTTCCTTTTAAATACAACTTTCACTAGATCAGCTCTCAAGATTAATTTGTCCTCTTCTCAGAACAAGGACCCTTGACACAGCTGAACACACCTGCATTAGACAGAAGCTTCTACTTCAGCATGAGCCCTATGACTATGAGAATAGTCGCCCAGTCCTTTTGGTAAGGAAACTTCTTCAGTCTTGAGAATAGACCATTGAAGATCATTGCACCTTGACTGGGACTAGTTAAGAAGTATTTCTTTTTACAGATACTCAGTATTTTCTTCTTTTTAAGTCAAGAGCTTGTCTAGTGCATTTCTTGGTTGTGGCAATCCCAGCAATGCAGGTGAAAGTGTTGTGTGAAGATGGCTGACTTTTATCCTTAGGTCTCTGTCCTACTGTTTGAATAATAGTGATTAAACATAATCCTATTGTGGGCAAAATGAAGCAGGAAGTCTAGTTTTATAATCAATCTTTTAAGTATTTCTAGCAAACTGCAGCTGAGTGTTTGATCTCCAGGTGTGTTGATTAAAAATATTACAGTTCTTAAAGAATTGTGTTGAAATTATGAAAACAAAAAAACCCAATCAAACTCCTAACATTTAAATAAAAAAAATCAGAAATTCTCCTTTTTATCTCCCTCATCTTTTCTTTGAGGAAGACACAGTGTGACCTTGTCCCACCAGCTGGGGCCAGCACTAAGTTGTCTGATGACCAGTTTGAACTCTCAATGTGCACAAGAACAGTTAATATCCCCAAAACCCCAACAAAACCAAACCAACTTAAAGCAAGGTGAAACCTAAGGAATGTTAAGAAAAGTAAGTTTTCCAAGGCAAGCTTAAGCCTGTATCCTAAACTGAACAGAAGCTGTGTAGGTGCAATTTCACTGGCACTGGTGCAATGGGAACCCTGAGATATGAGCCCAGTATCATCAATGCACTAATTACATCGTAGTAACCTTAAGACTGCTTCAAGTCCTGGCAGAGTGAGCCCCAGTTCTTACTGACTCATCCCTTTCAAAAGTATATTGCCTGTCTCTGGCATTTGTTTGATGTGAAATAGTCAAATCTGGTTTCTTTATGGGAGGAAGTTTCCTTTCAGCCCTTTGGACTTTGCTGGTCAATGCAGAATAGGTTCAGTACAGCAAAGAATTCATCACAGAGGAATGATCAGGTGGCTGTAGTAGGAATTAGGAAGGTGGGTAATGGCAACAGCAGTAATGTCGAGTTCAAAGTTTCTGCAGGTACAACTGCTGCCTTCCCCTACGTTTTTGACAGTTTGTTTGAAAGCTGTGAGCAGGGCAGAGGGAAAGTGACTTCCTTCAACTCTGGTGCTATTTTATGACGTTAGTGGTGAAGGCTGTGGCTCATGATGGAAGCAGCTAAAGCTTTTTCTGTATCTTTCCCTTAGAAAAGTCAGTAATTTAGAATAGGACCGTTCTGCTGAAGAGTGATAGTTTGTCCTCTGATTATATGCACCACTACCTGCAATGTACAAAACCATCTAGTTCAAGTGTATAAATAAAAGCAAGAAACAGGATTTCCTGTTAAATGTGAGGGGAAACTCAGTCTAGCACAGTTAATGAGTTTGTTTCCAACAAAGAGTATCTGACAATTTATTGTGTTATTAACCAAAACCAGCTCTGGACGATTTTGACATCCTCAGGAAAAGCAGTATGAAATCTCAGGAGCCCTGCCCAGGCAGGGGCGTAGATTGGGCAATGCTGCCTCTTAGCTGTTCGAGTCCTGGCTTGTTGCAGGGACAAATGCAATATTGGGTTCTGGGGCCAATTTTGCTGGCTCTGTCTGCTGGCCCAGAGCACTAGTTTCACTCCACCCCTGGTCTTATTCTCACTCCTAAGACACAGTCTCAGGGCTAGGACTGCAGGACAGTATTGTGTAAGGTATCTTGGACTCACGCAAAACTCTTCCCAAAAGTGAATAAAAGAAGTGTCAGAAGTTAACTTCATCCTGCAAACAAGAACTCTGGAATGCAAATCTCTGCTTGGACACTTCTCAGGGGAAGGGAAGAGGCAGGGAGGACATGTGTTAACATGTTTTTGTTCTCATGGACACTCTGCAAACTGGTAAGCAGAGATTGTCAATACAGAAGTGGTTTTTTTTAGGTGGGGTTTTTGGCCACAAAATGGTAGTTTTAATTAAATGGACAGAATTAAATGGCTCTAATCAGTTTGTTGATAGAAGCATTTTTATAAATTATTTGATGAAACATCTAGCTGAAAAACCATGAAAAGTAGAAAACTGTAATAGTATTAGAAAAGTTTATTGACTTTAACAGATTTTTTCTGCTTTCATGATTAATGTGTAATCAGTTTTACCTGTGACTTTGCTTAGTTTTTCCCCTATATTGAATAGTATCCCAAATAAATTATCGATTAAAATCTTGAAAAAACCATTCTCGTTGCATAAACCTTCAGGGCTAAAACTACAACCCTCTTGTTAATACTGTTTGGAACAAATGGCCTCTTTCTACATTCTCAAACCTCTCCCACCTGCTCTGGATAAACTTAGCTATTATAGCTACTGAGTTTGAAGCTGTGTTTGTGCATCACAGTGCAATAGTATGGCTCTTGTTGATGGTGACTGGATATATTTGGACAGTTGTACTCACTCTGTGTGGTCACGTTCATTACAAAACATGCTTTAAATGGTGCGTATACAGAAACAAGGAGTTCACATATTCAGTAATACAAGATGGCAGGACTCAGTACAGCAAAACAAGTTTTGGCTCTGATACAATACAGAGGTGGCAACATCTGCAAGGCTTGCTTATTTATTTTTTTTCCTCTCATTGACTTACCTCTTCCTCCTCTACTTCCTTTGCCTCTGGGCACCCAGAAGAAACTTAAATCGGATTACTAAACACAAATGCTATTTTTATCAGTTGTGTTTGTGTTCCTGTGAGAACATAAAGCAACTCATGCTGTTTTAAATGGGGAAAAAAACAAGACCAAACCAAACCCTTTATTTTAAATAGGTCTTTTTCATTTCTGTTTTTAACAATTTTATCATCTGCTGTACCAAAAACAGTGTTTAGATCAGTTTTGAGCTCTCATTACAGTGCATATTCTATTACTGCTTTTCTCTAGACAGGGGAAAAAACCTCTGTTCCTGGAAGTGCTTCTATGCCATAAACATTATCTGGAGGTAGAGAGGCAACAGCAGATTATCTATTTGGGTAGTATAAGCTTCCAAAAGAGAAACTAAGCTCACAGATACCAGAATCCAGGCATAGCTGGAGTTCAGATTCACACTGCTGTCAAAGATCAGAATAAGAGCCACAGCAATGATCTGAGCAAAAATAGCTGTCATTGTCCCTTCAAAGGTCTTCTTTGTTCCTGGCCATTTGATTTCTCCCATTGTGCTGCCAAAAACGGAGGCAATAGTGTCTCCTACCCCTACTGCCAGTACCCCAGAGTAGGGGACCAGTGCTCCTGCCCCAGACAAGGTACCTTTAGGAGCACAAGATCTGGGGAACAACCACACTGGGAGGGACATGCCAAGGAGGAGATAAATATGAGTCAAGATTAGAGGTCCACTGTCTCTTTCATCCAAGAAGAGAGACAGCAAATGCCTAAGAGTTTGGCCAAATGGTTTGATCCTGAAGTATCGAATGTACTCTAAGAAGATAAACACTGCCAGACACAGAACTGCAGCAACGTAGAGAAGCTGGCGGTCATAAATTAGTCCAGGAACATAAGTAGCTACAACAATGAAATGGAAATATTTCCTGGTTATAGTCGAGGCCTGATGTTTTTTAGATTCAGATGATCTCTTAGCATTCTGGTAGAAAACTATACCACATGCTGAAGCAGCCAAAAAGGTCCAATATACAAGAAGGTAAACTCTTGTCTGTGTCTGAAACAGAAACTGGAGTAGCCAGAATAAGGGGTTCCTCTGGATCAGTCGGTACAGCCAAGGCATGATGACCCCTAAGCCTAGCACTGCTGTCATCATGTGGAAAAACATGGAGGAGATCCACGTACCCGAATCCATGAAAATGAAGAGCACAGTGAAAAAAAGCCCAAGAAGAACAACTCCAACAACTGCCACCAGAAGGAAAAAGTCTATGGGATCACCTCTGCCCTCGATTACATTCAGTGAGCGTTTAATGAGCTGATTGAGAACAAAACTTATACCTCCGAGAACTAGCAATGCTTCTCCAGGAGTAAAACATCGAGGCAACAAGTACAGCAAGATCATACTGAGGTAGACAAAAATTAGCAGCACTTCTAGGACCTCTATCACTTCTGAAACAGTCAAAGAGTGCTTCATGGTATAGATAATTATACTGCCAGCAACACCAGTAAGTATGCAAGTGTTGGTTGGCACAGGTTTTGTGATGCCAACCGCTATTACAGACAGAAAGAGAGCAACCAGCATGCCAGTGGAAGCTACAACAATGCCAAAACGTTCGAAGTACACAATGCCAGCAGATTTGCACCTCTCCTTCATCGTTATCCCCAACAAGGGGATGACCATGCTAGCTGGCAGGAGGCCACTGTTCGCTGCTGTACGGAACTGGAATACAGCCCCACCCAGCTGGAGCAGACGGTCCCATTTGAATTGGGCATAAAAAGCCTGGATGGCGAGAGCGACAGCGCACCAGGAATACCGGTCCCACACCACTGCGTGCACAAAGAGAACGATGACGAACACTATCAGGGATTCCATGAGCACTGGCTTGTTTAACATGATTCCAGTCCAACGTGGCTCAAGCTTTCAAACTCTCTCAGGAGTCCCGATGTGCTCAATAATTGTCCATTATGAAGAATTCCCTTTCATGCTACTGCAATTCCTATTAAAAATAAAAAAAGAGCAAACAATTAAAGCCACACCTAGAAAAGCTAAAGCTTTCACACAGCTGTTTTGTTCTTAAGCTCAATTTAAACTGATAGTTATGTGCCAGTTGTTAATGTCAACCCACAGGTGAATAAAAAAACCCATAGAACCAGTGAGGTAGTAGATCAGCCAAAACTGTCATCCCCTTTTGAGAATCAAGAGAAGTCAGCCTGCAGTGACAGAAATGAACCACTGAATACTGGGGTATTCAGATACAGTTTTAAATATTTCTGTTGCAGTGTCTTTGAATGAAAATGTGAAGCAAACAAACCATAAATATTCCCAGAAGGCTTTATTGTGATGGTGTGAGTTTGAAATATAATTAATTTAAAAGTTTAAAGGTAATTTTAGAACCTAATTTTATATGCAGTTTTCACTGTATTTTTACCGAATGTTCCTCCTTTATTAAATATTTCTCTTCCCACTGCTGTGCAAAACCCCCTACGTACCTCTCTCCTTCTGTCACTGGTGTTATGATTGAATACTTCCCATTAGTGTAGTAGGTGTTTTATAATGCTATATAGTATTTAGAATAGAAGTAGGAAAGAAAACATCACAATCACTTAAAAAAATTGCCAAATGGCATACTTTAATTTTGATCTATTAGCAGAACTGTCAAGATAAGCTAAGCTGGAGATCTGAGCACAGAAAAATGAAGTGAACACACCTCATCTTGCCTGTAGCCGTGAGAGGATGTTTATCACATCCTTAATATTAAGCAGCCTAATTTGTTTTGCTTCTACAGCACTGCTGGGTCATATTTGTTACGAAGATATCTATTCTGAAATACGCTTCTAGACCATCTTGATGTATTGGCAATATTCTGTTTAACTCTAGGATGTGTTGTAGCCATATGATTTAACTATTATACAGCTTCATAGGTGAGTAAATGAGTCTGATTTATTCTTGCTTATTTTTAAAGAAAGGTATTGGCTTCATTTCTCTTTAACACATGGCACGGCCTCTTCCCCGTCAGCTATCTTGACTCCTGTTTTCCAAGCGAGAACCTTGCATGCCTGTTCTACACAGACTCTAGATCTGTATAAATAAGTGAAGTATTTTAATGTTAGTCAGTCATTAATGACACTAGACAAATACTAGCAAGTCTCATCCCAGAATCGCATCATTACTTTATAAGTGATTTGTTTAACTAACCTCTGGTACGATTTATTTTCCTCAAATTCCTCAAGAGTAAGTAAACCCTGTAAGACATTCTTGATCATGATCTAAAGCTGTCATTGTTTTCTACATCCCCTCACTCCCTTGTCTTACTAAGACTTAGTGCATTTACAGCTCTTCACCTTCGCTCAGTCAAGGTTCACAGCCAATGACAGCTGCATTGCAAACTAAACTCCTTTAAACTTTTGGACTATAAGATAAATAGTTGAGATAATCAGCAATGCACACAATTACTCTATAGGTTAAATCATATCTTATCTTCTTTGAAGTACTGTGGGCATTCACAACGTTGTGAAATTCTCACCAGCATTTATTGCTTTCTGGCAACCTTTGTTTCTCCTTATCCATAATCTGATGTTAAGTCTTAGCCATACGTAAACCAATGCCATTACACTAACATCTCTTTTGTGTTCTTCGAAGGTATCAGTTTCTGTATGTCTGTTGGCAATAGAATGGCTGATCCAGTTGTAGGTATCCCTGCTGTGTAAGATATCTCCAGCTGAAACTCTGGATTGCTTCATCCTTTCTGGTCCACCCTTAGCAGTAAACCCTTATTAAATTCTGCTCCCCCAGTCTCATTACTAATATATACATTAGCCATTAGCTCCCTCATGGAAGGCTAGAAGTTTATTTAAAGTTTTGGCTTGGGTTTTCATCCAGTGTTGAATGGTGTCACCAGATTATAAAGCTGATAGAGATGTTAGCAGTAATATTACTGGGTAACTATTAAAGTTTGTACCATCAAACTCCCTTACACTGTGGGTCTGGAGCAGTTTAGTTATTTATGACTTTGTATTGAAAACTCACAATTATTAATAGATTGCTTTTTGGCATCCTTATTCACATCGGCTGAAATACTTGATTGCCAAACAACTTCATTGCATTTACTCTTGCTATACAGCTAGATCAGGCCAAGTACAATCTTTTTGCCATCACAATTAATTTTTAAACAGAACAGGAGAAGAATTAATCATATAGTCAATAAAACAGAACTGGCATGGGCAATATCTACCTACGACCAATAATGGTTTTGGGGTCCCACTCCTTGTTGTTTCTGAGCACAGGGGAGGAGGAAGCTTAAGGCTTATTTGAGAAGAGGCAGGGTAAATACCACACGCTAGCCAAAGCTTGAAAAAGACCTCCCACTCAGTCTGGCAACTTTAAGGTTGCAACCCAGCTCTTGCATCAATAATGACAGCTTCCCCAAGCAGGCAGCCTGCCAGCTGGCCTATAAGACAAGGAAGAATTTCACCATGTGAAACGCAGGTCTCCTACTCTATTGCAGCAGCTTTGAAAGCCCGTGACCCGTGAATTTGCAACACGATGTATTTCACTGCTGAATTGTTTCATTTTCTTGTGCCTGCTGCGATTCCCTCCTCCACACCTTCTTTCACGTAACATGAAGCTCCTCAGCACTCCTGCTCTCTCACACACCGAACGGGACCCACCGCCCCCAGTTTCAAGCCGGACTAAGCGTTTTCTGCCCGTTTCGCGATCAGCATCCCGGCTGCTCTAGGTAGGGATGTTTCCCCCTGACGTGCTCCCAAACACCCGGTAGCCCTCGCCTCGCTGCGCCACCTGCCGCCTCCCTCTCTTACCTGTGTCCCCCGCAGCGCTGCGGGCTCCCCTTGCCCTCTCCTTCCACGCCGCCCTCCGCCTCCTCTCCCCCTCAGCCGCGGCACCCCGCAGCCCAGCCGGCACTACTAGGAAGCTGCCCCGGGGCACGGGCCGCAGCAAGGATGGCGGACCTGCGTTAGCCCCTGGAAGGTCTCGGAGTCGCTCGGAAGCTCTGCCCGGGGAAGCCCCGGGTCCCACCGAGGAGCTGCGCCCTTCCCCGACCGCCCCCCCCGCAAACCCGGGAGCGGAGCGCGGACCCACCTCACGGGACGCCGCCATCTTGGCGCTGCCGCCTGTCACATGACCCAAAACGCCGGGTCGGGGGCCGGAGGCGGAGCGGTGGCCCCCCACCACGTGACACCGGCGCTGGGGAGAAGGAGGGGGGACCGACTCCGCGCGGCGGGTCACGTGAGAGGGGAGCGAAGATGGCGGCGGGCGGGCTGTGCGCGAGGTGCGGGAACGCGGCGGCGGCA